CCCCCCCCCCCCCCCCCCCCCCCACTCGGTGTTTGCCATCGGGATTGGGTTTTCGTCGCTTGGCAACGACGTTGTAAAACAAGCCAATTCACTTCGTGAACTCGGCAACCAGGTTACCGTATTTTTTTTTTTACCTCGTTTTTTTTTTGGCGGTAACCGTAGTGGTGGTCGAGTAGATCATGTTGTGGGGGGTCGAGAAACCTCACTCCGCGCAACGGGGGATGATCGCACCACGTTGTGTTAAAATGGTCAAGCTTCCTCGAGGCAGTTACACAGTGCTTACAACTGTCTCTGGAAGTGAAAGCGCCAGAAAATAAATTAAGTCATACGTAGCTGTCATCCGTACGCAAGGAAGTAAGCACAAGATGCCGAACACCCTTAACAGGATGCAGCTCACCCTTCATGCGACTCGCCGAATACCTCACGGCGCTTCGCGCTTGGTGATGTGAGAGCCTGGTCCGGTGAGAACCCGGCGTGCTCCGTCCCGGCTTTGTAGGGATGCGAGGTCAATGGTCAAACGACTACGGCATGCACGACTATGAGTACACCCCCCCCCCCCCGCGCGCGCTGGGCCTGGAGAATAGCTAGCCCTTACAAGTAGTGCGGTGAAGAAGAGCAAGGCTCGCCTCATCGCGAGGGCTGTCTCGTGGGCTTTTTTGCTAAACAGCTTTCGATGTTCCTCTTCACTTTTCATCCTTCCGGCGAGAAATGGCACAAACAAAGAAGTTCTTGGAAAAAACTGACTTCTGAAAATGTATGTACTTGGAAGTACCTAAAACGTATATAGGTTGTATCACGCGCTGCTTACTGTGCGTCGCTTGTAACACGCAACCCTTTTTTTCGGCCACGTCGTCTGCGGAGACAGTCTCATGATTTCGCATTAACTCCATACACCCTTGGCGTGTGTGACTGCTATTTCTTTTTCGTTTCTTTTTCACGAGCCAGGTGTGGATGCTTCTCCTCGCCTCTGCCATCGACGGCTGCACCAGCTGCATGTACAGGCAAGCGAAGTGGTCAAACGCGTTGGGTGCGGGGCGAATGAATACCTACCTGTCGGGGTGGAACCGATCGGGCTGGCTCTTCTGATTTGATTTCTTATGCGTGGCCGATGCTTTTCTTTTCGCATGTTGCCATCGCTTGCTTGTTCTGATGAGGCGAGGTCATGCTGGACATGGCGTTGCCCGAAAACGCATGCGGGTTGCGGAGGCTCTTTCGCCGCGTCCCTTGTAGCTGGGCGTTCGTGCTGTTGCTCGGCCTACGCGGTTTGGTATTTGTTTATCGTGGGCTGTTAAGGGCGTTTGCTCCCTTTTGCCGCCGTCGGCACGGGGGATTTTGAACAACGCTAGCCCTGTCCCCCATTTGCTCTCCCCCCCCCCCCCCCCCCCCAATTTTTTTTTTTTCCCCCCTTCCCCCCCGGGGGGAACCCCCCCCCCCCTTTGGGAAAAAGGGTGTTTTTTTTTTTTAAAAAGGCCCAGGGGGGCATTCCCGAATGGGGGGGGACGGGGGCTGGGTTTAGGGAGGGGTTTGGGCTTTTTCCGGGGCTGTTGCCGGGCCAGGGGTTTTATAAAAGGGCCCCGCGAAAAACTTTGAAAAATTTCCCACCCCCAACGGGGGTGGGGGGGGCCTTTTTTTTTTTCGGGTTTTATCTTTTCCCATTTTTGG